CAGAACATGGTGTTTGTAGCTGTGACTCGCACCGAATCCCACAGCAGAAGACCACTTGGGTTCTGATTAGAGGCCGTTCCTCCCTGTCATGCCCCGCCAGGTCACACTGTCACCCACATGGGCTTTGAGTGGCCACGTAACCGAAAGCTAAAATCAGCAAAACTATAGGTAAATGCTAAAATGAACAAAAATTGTTGATAAAAGTTAAAATTGTGAAAACCATAACCAAAAGGTGAAATCAGAAAAATCATCACCAAACACTAAAATTAACAAAAGTGAAGCTAAAAACTAAAATTAGCTAAATCAAAGCTCAAGTTGAAATTAAGAGATTTGGAAACAAATGCTAAAAATGTCAAAATCTTACATAGATAGGTAAAGTTAGCAAAACAATATCTAAAAACTCAACTCGGTAAAGCTTAATTTAACAGAAGTTCGATGGATTAAAAAAAAATGAAGTTAACTATTTTGAACAGTATAACAAAATGTTGTACCGCCTGTCGTGAACGAGCTAAATGTTTTTATACGATATGATGCTCAATGTAGCACAAAGTATGCTGAAGTAGTTTGAAAAAGCAAATGGAAGAAACAGGAGATGTTAATGTTGGCTCAGCCCTCACATGATAACATGTTTTACAAGGTTTTATTAGTATTAATACTCGGATGTTGTGTGAACAATTTGCATTGATTATCATGTTTTATATTATTTTTAATATTGTGTTTTAGTTGTCGTGACATCTATAAACAGAAGATGAAAACATGTTTTTGTGTAAACCAAACGCTCTTGACTAATATGTTGCTGAACTGTTGAAGGACTTTCTGATGAAAGCATTTCTAGTATTGACAGCTATTTCTGGATGACTTTAACTCTAATTGCCCAACGTGCCGTGTGGGTAGATGTTCCAAGTAATGCTAGAAATGTAACACTTCACCCGTGACTCGGCAGTCGTGTGAAAGCTGCTCCGGGTTGTTAGAACAACTTGGTCCACCTGTTGTTTACTTACTGTGAATCAGCACTTTATGAGAAAAGGTAAAGAAGGACGTCTGCTGTGTTTCTCATAGATGCCTGCTCACCTGAGGCTGCGTTTAGAGAGATGCTGGGCAACACCAACCAGAGAGCCATACGGGCATATTCAGTACACCTTCATCAAGGACAGGTCTGCAGCTGGACTGTTTACAGCCTGCTGCTGGTGGCGCAAGGGCGAGATTTGTTTTTGTCTGCATCTGTGGGTGTGGTTCATTTGTCTGTTGCATTAGCAAAATGTCTCATGACCCACTGGATGGATGTTTTTTTTTTTTTGTTCTTGTTGTGGAGCAAAAAGTCCATTCATCCATCTGTCCATCCATCTGTGCATGTTGTGAGCATGATAACTTAAGTGAGGTACTGACTTTCATTTTGGTGTGTGACTATATCTAGGCGTAAGAAAATTTCCTGGGTTGTCACGGCTTATTCCAAGATGGCTGCTGCCATATATATATGTTAAGTTGGATAACTTGAAAGTTGAGCAACGTACTGACTTCTGTTTTGGTGTGTGGCTGCATCTAGGCTTGAGAAAGATCACTATCAAATGGATTGCCCCATTAAAATCCAAGATGGCCATATATATATATATATATATATATACATATATATATATATATATCATTGGCCCTTGTGGTGGATAAAATTGCTCCATCCACACACCAGAATTTGTCACTCTGTGCTGCCTCAGGCAAAATAAACAACAGCAAAAAAATGCAACCTCTCTACACAGTGTAACTTCTACCCACTTGAATATTTTGCACAAAAACATTTAGGTTTACTTGCATTCCCAGTTCAATTCTAGTTTTTAAAACACTCATTGCAAAAACTACAAACACTGTTGACATCCCTCAGCGACGAGGACATTGGCGTACCGCTTATTATTTATTTTGTGCATCTACTGATCAGCTATTTACCATTTTCACACAATTCAAAATGGCATCCCAGTTTATCAACATCTGCCAACTCAAAAATGGCTATACCTGTCAGTTTTACAGAAACTGAGCTAAAGTTTTGTTTAGTAGCTAAATTGAAGAAGTTTCCAAAAGTTCCTGAAGAGTCTTGTTTGTGGTGTGCTCTGTTGCAGCCGTATTGCTCGACGTTTGCAAACAGCTCGATGTCCTTTTACTGAGGTGCTGTTGAAATATGAAATAAGAGTCTGTTGCCCGGAGAGCAACACATCTCAGAGCCGGGTCATGTGACTCCCGTCTGTGCGGCCTTGTGCGTATCAGTTCCACAGCTGCGCATGCCTTTGACAGCAAACAGCTTTTTCTACCGTAAAACTCTGTCACAATGAAAACAGGCGAGAGGAAAACTGTTTGCATTGATTTTTTTAAAAACTTTTTTAATTTCATCAGATGAGCTCAGACCTAAAGGGTCGTGTGTTGTTCTAAACAGGACGCTCCCAGCAGGCCCCCCTGACTTCTGTGTTTCTCACTAGTTGTCCGGTGCTGACGAGCGAGCAGACTCTCAGCGTGCTGAAGAACGGCGACGGTCCCGAGGCCACGTTCAGGATACAAATGTTCAAGTTTGTCGGCAGCTCGTACACCAACGTCTTCCTCCACTGCAACGTCCAGATCTGCCACAGCGGCCAGAGCCTGTGTCAGCCTGTGAGTGAGCTCACCAACACTTTTAGCTTAAAGTGATCGTCAGAGGCCAGTTCAGACAAGTGGCCTGCTCTAAGCCTAATATAGACCCATCCGCCTCGGAAGGCTCCTTCACACGTACCAGCTGGTAGTTTTAACTGTCCTTATTTCAAATGTACAAGACTTGGCATTTATTATAATTATTTATTTTAATATTTATTTCTCTGACAGAACTGTTCTGCTGAAGATGGGCTAATGAGAATACGGAGAGAAATCCCACTGTCCCACACAGTGTCCTATGGACCAATCAGACGACTCCATACCGACCATGAAAAACCCAATCTGAGTGTGTTTCTGTAAAATCTCTCATCATTTTTGAAAGGATGTTCGGTCAGATAGTTTTTTGTAGTTAGCACCTTATCAGCTGTGACATCAGATCACAAAGTATGGACAAAAGAGCAGAAGTCTGTCTGGGCTAGGCTAATAGGTAGCCAAACAAGGGTCTGTATTGATTATTTAGTCTCATAAAAGGTTTTTCTCTAAAACTAGGGCTAGGTTAGGAAACCCAAGCCAACCCTAACTATAGGGTTTATCAAAAAGGAAAGTCTTAAAACTGGACAATGTGTCAGCCTCATGGACAGAAACTAGAAGTTGGTTCCACAAGAGAGGAGCCTGAGAACTGAAAGATCTTCCTCCCATTTTGCTTTTGGAAACTCTAGGAACCACAAGTAAACCTGCAGTCTGAGAGCGAAGTGCTCTGTTGGGAAAATATGGAACAATAAGCTCTCTGATATAAGATGGAGCTAGGCTGTTGAGAGCTTTGTAGGTTAGAAGTAAGATTTTGAATTCTATTCTGGACTTGACAGGGAGCCAATGGAGAGAAGCTAAAACTGGAGGGATACGATCTCTCCCAGTAACTCCAGTTAAGACTCTGGCAGCAGCATTTTGGATCAACTGAAGACGTTTTAAAGAAGTATTTGGACACCCAGATAATAAACCACTGCAATAGTCCAGTCTAGACATGAACAACAACAAACACCCTCATTTGTCCAGACATTAGTCAATTCTGCAGGAAGACTTTTACTCTTTTCTCCATTCTCTATGCTTCATGATTTCTGTCACAACTGCTGAGTACTAACTATTGATAACTGTTTGATGGATTGTCATTATAATGTTTAAATAATCCAAATAAATATGGATCTCCCTTTTTCCTGTTTGTTGTAGATTCCAGCGGTGTCCCTCCAGTGGAGACTTTAGTCCTCGGAGGCCTGCTGATCGTCTTGCTGCTGATGACAGCGGTGTTTTGGAGGCTGTGGCTTCGCTCCAGGCGTTTCTACCCAGCACAAGAAGCACAGCTCACTTTATCAAATATTCACCACATCTCAGAGTTGGCCTCGTGAATCAAGGACATTTCAGAGCTGATAAAAGAACATAGAAAGATACAGGTGTGATTTATAAATATGTATGTTATGACTCTTGTGTTTATATTTGTTATTTGTATGAAATTACATTAATACATTTTTTGTTTTGTTTCATTGATAAAAATATCTAAACATTATTGAGATATCAATAAAAAAATAGCAATAAAATTAAACTGTCCAGTCAATTTGTGATTTATTTATTTTGTAATTTACATGGATTAATAAGAACACATGTAAAATATTAGCGTGGATGTATGATTGTTGAAATTCTGCAAATCACTTCCCAGTTGTTTGAGAATGACAGTGACTGGTCTTTGGGGTTTTCCCCAGTCTGTCATTTCAGAGCTGTGTCACAACTCTGCGCCCATAAACCCGAATAGCTCTGTGCGCGTTCCTTTTAAGTCAGCCGGAATACGACCCGGGTAGAGGAGATAAAGAAATGCAAGGGAGGAGCCTGCCTCTCACTGAGGGTAAACCGCTTGTCTGGCGGGGAGATGTCACCTTAAATCGTATATTAGACCCATCAGAGCGATCTAAATTTATTGTCATAACAATAAATTTGCATTAGAAACGTAAACATTAGCAGAAATGGATTGTTGGTTAACACGGACCCCTGTATCTAATCATATTCAACTGATTGACTAACTTTATTCAGAATAATCGCAACCTTGACATTTAAGAACGTGTACGCGTGTCTTGTCACTGGATCCGAGCCGAGTGTTTGGTTAATATGTCGCTCGAAGTGGATAGCAAACACCGTCCCCACTTATAAGCCGCCTTACGAGCCGGGCTACAAATTGTGGTCGACCATTAGCCATTTTACGTAATGACGTAATACTGCGGCGTCCCGAACCAGGATCAACACGGCTCCAATCCTGACCGACCAGAAGAACAACTCAGCCACTGGTGACCAGATAAATCGGACAAAGTCGCGCCTCGGGTTGTGAGGAACAGTTTGTGTTGCTTATATTGACAGTTTATTTACGCGGGAACGTGGAAACAAAAACTCTTCGAGGCTCCTGGAATTTAGGTAAGCCGTTTCCAGAAGCTACCGGTGTTCTCCCAAAAAAAGCAACCTCAGCCTTCAGCGCCGGCTGCTAGCTAACCGTTTAGCCGCAAATGCTAACAATCTCGAAGTGTTGTCAATTCACGTTTAGCTAGTAATTTTCAAGGTTTTCAGTTTCATCAGTCAACCAAACTCGGTATCACTAACGCTAAAGTTCATATAGTTAACTAGGTCATGGTGATACGATAGCACAAACCGTGAAGACGTAAATAAACCGGCTGTTGCGTTGTTGTGTTGCAAACTGCTAACCTGCCAGCTGTTTGCGTAACTTGGCTGCTGTTGGCTCCATTTAAACAATAGCTCTGTGTCAAACTGTGGTGTGGGCTGGTGGCGTTGTTCCGGGTTTTAAATGATTCTTCTGTGGCACAAATCCTTGTGCAACACCGGCTAATGAGCTTTAGGCTCATGAACCTCTTGGCTGTGTTTCTTTAAAGAGCCTGAATCCAAACCTCAACGATTTAAGATTATTTTTAACTAGACTGAAACCGATGACATGATTGTAGTCTTCCAGTAGACATGCTAACAAAATGTTTAAACATCTTCATGTTGGAGTAAAATATTTAATTTCAAAGAGCTTTAAATTTACGTCCACGTGATGCTAAGATCATGTACTTGGTTTAAAAAATAGGAAGTTACAGATTTAAATAATAAAAACAATTATGGTGTGAATAAAGTCCTGAATTTCCAATGAAGATGTGAAACGTCACAAAAATAGACACGTTTTACAAATTTTTAGAGATCTGGCATGAAACTTTCATCAAACCCTGATTGATGAATGTTCTGAGTAACGTATTTAGTGGAAATTTATCAGTTTATTTTAAGTTTTTTATAAGTAACTAGTAGTAAACCTGCATTCACTCCAGTAGATGAGTTTGTTACAGCAGAAAATTCTGCAATGACGAGACCAGAATTTTCTGCAGTTAATGCATTTAAGGCAGTGAAGGTGCAGGTTCTCCATTTTTAGTGATGCTCCTTGGCTATGCATCACTAAAAATGGAGAACCTGTTATACCATCATTACCAGTTCAACATTTTGCTGGTGATGAAAAGTAAGTGCTGATGGATCAAATTGCATTTGAGAACATAAACTGTGCATTGAGTTGTTGAATAAATCTTTGTGCGTCTTCAAGAAGATCAAGCAGCTCTTACTGGAGCGAAAGTTTTGTTGCACCTCAACTGTTTCTTAAATAGGAAATCAACAACTGGATACAAATAAAATTCTGTGTATTTGATCAAAGTATATTCCCATTATTCCAACCTACTAGCCAAGAAAAAAATAGTTTTTTTGGAGGCGGTGGCCCTGCTGGGCAGGAAAATCACACGCTTTGTGATTAGAACCAAGATAGCAGCTGAATCAGGACCGATGGTGACGTACTTAACTAAACATGGAGTAAGAGAAGCAGTGATGGAGAACGAGTGTGAGAACTTATGGCTGTGCTTTAATGCTGCAGTTTTATTTTCTATACAACACATGTCTGTTTTTTTACAGGGTTGAACCTTTGACCTCTTCCCTCGGGCATAGCCAAGGAGCATCACTAAAAATGGAGAACCTGCACCCTCACTGCCTTAAATGCATTAACAGGCGATGCATGACGAGACCAGAGCCAGGTTTGTCCTGCGATCTTATCGGCTGTCCTCTCGTCTGCGGAGCAGTTTTTCATTCGTGCAAGCTGGAAGAACATCGTCTGCTGTGTCCGTACGAGCGACTGCCTTGCCTAAACAGTGGGTTTGGCTGCCCCTTCACTATCCCGAGGACCAAGATGGCCAAACATCTTGAGACATGCCCTGCGAGCATAGTATGTTGTACAATGGAGTGGAACCGCTGGCCCGTGAGCTACGCTGATCGCAAGTCCTACGAAAACTTGAGCAAAGACTTTGATGAGGTGGAGCAGCTAGACATGGCCTTGGCTCTGCAGGATCAGAGGATGCTGTTAGAGTCCCTGAAAGTTGCAACCAATGTGTCAAAGAATGGAGACAAAGAAAGAGATAAAAGTGATAAAATGCCCGTAGCATCCGGTGTGCCAGAGACGGAGTCGGGTAATGAAGCAGTAGAAATGGAGGAGGAACCTTACAATGACTTGTGTTCAGAAGAAACGAGCAGAAGTTTAGCTGCTGCCTTGGACATCTTGACTAGTTCCAACCAGATTAATGTGCTTGTAGAAAATCTGAACGGGGAAAAGACTAATAAGAATGGAGCGATCCATAGTGGAGAAAACGGGGAATGTGTGTTTGTTGCTGGGAGTGAGAAGAATGTAGAAATGCAAGACGGTGACTCTGATTCAGAGTGTGAGCTCGGGGCAGTAGGTGGAGTAGACTGCTCTGTAGAAACAGATGGAAATGTAAATTCTGTTAACTGGGCTGAAGAGCTGCTTTTTGAAGAAAAGGACTTAATCCATGAATCAATTAATAATCCTGGTCTCATCTGGCCAGAGATGCCTCAGGATTACATGCCAAATGTAGCACCAGAGCCCCCTGTGCCTCAACAGGACCCACTTCCACCCCCAATGCCATTCCTGTTGTCTGATCACGTGACAAATAACTTCTTGCAACACTTACCCACTGAACTCAGGTACAGGTGTTTGGAGCGTAAACTTCAGAACGTAGAAGTGCTTCGAGGAATAAGTATGTTTACATTCAATGGACGACGGGCCCTACTGTCAGACCCCTACTTGTTTCGAGCAAAAATGGAGGACAAAGCAGTGGACACGTCTGATCTGGAGGTCGCGGATGATCCCATGGGCCTCCATGGCATCGATCTCATCACCGCAGCTCTGCTGTTCTGCCTCGGCGATTCTCCGGGAGGCAGGGGGATCTCCGACAGCAGGTTTGTTGATGGCTACCACATTGACTTTGGTACTCAGACGTTCTCCTTCCCTTCTGCCATTCTGGCAACCAACACCATGGTGGGCGACATCGCTTCAGCCTCGGCCTGCGATCACGCCAGTCCGCAACTTTCCAACCCCAGCCCTTTCCATACTCTCAGGCTGGATCTGGTGCTGGAATGCGTGGCTCGATATCAAACCAAGCAGCGCTCCATGTTCACGTTTGTGTGCGGGCAGCTGTTCCGACGGGACGAGTTCTCGTCTCATTTCAAGAACGTCCACGGGGACATCCATGCTGGACTCAATGGCTGGATGGAGCAGCGGTGTCCCCTGGCCTACTACGGCTGCACCTACTCTCAGAGGCGGTTCTGTCCATCTGTGCAGGGGTTTCGAATAATCCACGACAGACACCTCGGTTCATTTGGGGTCCAGCCTGGATTACCCTTGAATGCTGGAGACCGCTTCTCAAGAAAGACCCTCTACGGTGACTCTCAGAGCGATCAGTTCAGCAGTCTTCCATTCGAAGTGTTGCAACATGTAGCGAGTTTTCTCGACGGCTTCAGCCTGTGCCAACTGTCCAGAGCGTCCCGCACCATGAGGGACGTGTGCGCCAGCCTGCTTCAGATGCGCGGCATGGTCGTCCTGCTGTGGGAGAAGAAACGGCGTGACGACGGCTCCCCTTCGTGGCAAATAACGCACAAGGTGAGAACTCTGCAGTCGATACATGGGGTCTGAAATTAGTGATTCGATAAAAGCCGTCCATGTCAGAGGTTACTTTATGATATTGTAATTCAGATTTCGATGGCTTGTAGCCGTTTCTTTTATTTGTGCGATACTACTGCATCGCATTTAGAGTGTTCTATTTCTCAGCTTTTACAAATTTTAGGTTGTAGCAACATTTTTTATTTGTTTTTGACCTGCCCTCACTGCGTAAGAAATAACACGCCGCCGCCGCCGCCTTCTGTTTTTCAGGTGTGGCGCTTCAGTACGGCCTTTGGCACAGTGAAAGAGTGGAAGTTTGCAAACATCGCCAGCATGGCCGACCACCTGAAGAAATGCAAGTTTAACAAGATATCTCGTCGGGAGGAAGCGATCCCTCTGCCCTGCATGTGCTTCACCAGAGAGCTCACAAAGGAGGGACGATGTTTACGATCGGTTCTCAAACCAGTAGCATGAAGCTTTTTCAGCTTTTCTCTGACCGGAACAACTCTGCAATACGTTTTCCTCCTGCGTTTACAGACATTAACCCGTTCAAACAGTTCTAAGCTAAACGCCTGCTGGAGCCTCAGCCTGTCGGCCATCTTTTGCTTCACAACATCAGGTGGGAACCAGTTTGTATTTCAGCTGCGGACAACAGTCACCACGTTCTGAATGTGTTCTCTGATCACTTTATTAATACAGTTTTAATTTTCTTAAATAAAAGTTGGTACTGTACCAGGGTTGGGCAAATGGAAGAATGTAATAAATAGACTTGTGGAGACAAATGAAGGAATATTTTATTTTTAAGGACAGTATTTTTTACTTTATTTTAGCTGAACAATTTTATATTTAAAATGACAAAATAAAGTAAAAAAAATAAAATAAAATTAAGTTTATTGTAGTGGCAGCTGTGTAACAAGAACATTCAACACTCCTTTGTTGATTAAAATAATTGTTAATGATTCTAATTTTGAAATCTACACCCTGTCCCATTTGATCACATGGAGGGGGCGGGGCTTAAAATTGTAACAGGTGTCTTTGTAGCTTTAACTTCTGGCTCTAGGTACGCTAGTTATGGTACATCAAAGTAATTGCAACGTTGTTTTCAGTAGCGTTACTCATACGAACATTAATAAGAAAAGATCAGATGTAATAAAATCACATGTTTTATGATAACCAGACAAAATGAAGTGCGTTTGGTACAGAGAGATTTTCTCACATTTCTCTCATAATCTTTGTGAGGCCGTTTTTCTTTCACTTATCTCTGCTGTTAAACAGACACTCCACAACAAATGACACAAATATACTCGTTTTATTTAGATTACTCGTCACACACTTCCCTGTTTTTTACATTTCTAATGTTTCATTTCACGTCAGACCTGCAGATGGAGTTGCTTTAAGCTCAGGAACGACAAATACACCTTTGACATCCGTTGTTTCACGACTGCGTTAAGGTTGAAGCCACGGCCGGATCAGATTCCTGACCGACGTCTGAAATCTGTGACAATAAAGGCATCGTTTGACGTTCACGTCTGTTCCCAGCACCACGAAGCTGCCTGTAGCTCCTAATACGAGCACACATTTATTTACTGTCTAACGTTTGAGATTAACATCCTGGTATAAAACCAAAGTAATCACAAACCCGTGAGTCTTTGTTTTTGACTTCCACAGTTGCACAGAGATTTCCTGGTCCGCCCCATTTAAAAAAAAAAAGCTTAAACATACCTTGTTGGATTTTGGACTTGACAATGGAAGACTGAAACGTTTTAGCGTGTTGCCCAACCCTAATGTGTACCGTGAGCAGATGGCACTGATCGTCTCAACGCTAAGTTCTTCAGATGTTTTGGTTTTAGTAGTTTCATACCGAGACTGACCAAACAGTTGTCGTTTTTACGGGATAATCAAACTATAGGTGTTATTAATCAATGGTCCATTTTTTCCCCTCCTCTTTTGTTTCTAAACAAGGCACTCGTTGCAAAGTCACGGAGACCCGTCAAAAAATTCATAAAGTAAGAAACGAATACGACATAATTTATTTTCCTCGTGAAGATTTCATCGTCTTTGAACGACAGAAATGGCTGAAGTGACAGAAAATAGGTCAATTATTGTGACATTCATAGGAGAGCCGTTAGAAATGAGAAAAATCCTGCACCGTTGATTTACTGGCACGTATTTATGCTCAGACGTGAGTAAAGTGCGCAGAAAATGGTGAACTTACTGGTCTAGAAAAGGTTTTGTTCGAACACCAACTTGTTTCATGATGCTTCATCGACTTGCTCGGTCTTTCTGGTTTCTTTTGTGTTTAGTCAGCTCCTCTGTGTGGATTCTTCTTGTTGAGACATTTTTATCCAAAGGACTTCTTCAGTCTGAGGAGCTGCAACAAACTCAGTCTTTGGATAAAAATGTTTCAACAAGAAGAGTCCATCCAGAGGACCTGACGTGTTACGTTCATCTACCTGGATTATTGAGCATCAGGACGGATTCTCTTAAATTTCCTCCTGAAAGTCTCCACCGACGTGTCCACACCCGCCATGTTTGTTTTCTTACAGACTACAGCCACGTCGATCACGTGACTCAAGCTTCCTCGTGGTTGACGGCGGATTCAGCCGATTCCTTTGTTGACATTGAGTGCGTACCCACATTTCAATAGTTTGAGCCAACTGTTTTTATGTTTGATTTAATGCTTTGCAAGGAGTTCGTTATGGCAGGACGGAAAACGCTGTCCTCCAGTGTTTTTAATCTACCAGCTTTAATAACCAGCACAGAGTTTTTTAGGCTCTTTGTTCAAAAGTCTAAACGTCGCCGTTTAAAATAACGAATGTGTTGGATTCATGTCTTTAGTAAGCATGGAGCTTGAGTTTCTTCCCACTGTGAGTCTGTCCTCGTAAAACCCTGCGGGCCGGGTTTTAGGAACCAGAACAGGCGCGCACACGTCGTCGATGTTGGCTGGTTTGTTTTGGACTCTACACACCTGGCGTGTTCATTGTTGAGTCTCAGGGTTAAGTGTGTGTGTTTAAGAGAAGGTGACCCGTCGCATGTGCAGCCGTGGGCTCCTCAGACATGGTGGTTTAAAAAACCAACATGTTTCAGGACAGGATGAACAGATTCTGCGTTTTCAGTGCTCAAAACAAAAATGTTGTGAAACGCTGAGCGAGCGATCCGGCAGATTTAGTTCGGATTCAAAGAAATGTGTGAAACACGATGGGTTTTAATCTTGTCTGCATAAAAACAACCAAAAAAAAAAAAAAAAGCTCCAAATTCATAAATAATTAAAGCATTTGTTGAAGGAGTGCATATCGCCCGCTGCCTTTCATGCCGAAACTTAAAACCAGGATCTTGTTATGCGAGAGGAGGAAGTGATGTCATCGTGAGAACTTTAATGTTTCAGTGCTCGAAGTTTGTGTTGAGGATGATTCTGAGCTACTACCACCTGCTGTTAGCAGAGTACTGCTAACGGTGGCTGTTGGAGCCATTCTTGTTTCCTAAGGTCACTTGGCTGTGGCGGCCATCTTGAATTGGGTTGACTCAGTTGTAGATGCACATCTAATAATTACTGAGAGTTTCACTACAATATTTCCACTAATTTGAGATATTTTGCTAACAGACAGACGCATAGCTGTTTTGCCTTGGTGGCAGGCAATAAACCTGCTGTGGTCAGAACTTTATATTTTAAAGCTGTATCAAAGTTAAACTATAGATTTCTGATCTATCCATGTGTTTTTTTGTACTTTTAATTTGATAAATCTGCCTCAGTTGAATCAATGGGAATGACTGATCTTCACACAACTGTACTGTAAATCTGAAGCCCTAAAGCTTCGGCTGAGCTGCAGGTTTTTTATTCTGCATGCGAGTTTAAAATATATATATTGATCAATACAGTTATTGATTGTTTTTTACTTTTCAGGCACTGACTTGTTACATTTTCACTGTGTTTTTGTACTTTGTACCACACGGTACTCAAGCTTTACTCAGTATTTCACTTTAAACCTGTCAAATGTGTGTAAGGAGGTTATAATCCTCTGCCCTGTTTGCTTCACAGGAAAATTAAAAAGTCAAAAATAAAGTTTTAGTTTGTTTGTTTCAGTCTGTGCACCCGGAGTGTCTCAACAGTTTGGGTATTTTATTTTATCACTCCTGTTGAAGTGTTTTTTTTATTTGTTCAATTTTTAAACCAATTTAATAAAGAGACTGTTTTTAATCAGTTGTTTTCTAAAATTCATTTAGTTTCACAAACAATTTGTTTTGTTCTGTCGGACTGTAACAGGAGCACATGTTACTTCTGACTGTAAGTTCAATAAAATACTGAACGTCTGATTCATTTGTGTTTTGATAAAAGTACAAAAAACACCAGTAAAAACTTTGAGTGGACCATTTTCCCTTTGAACTACAACTGTAACTTGTGAAATGTGAATGCTTGTTGCTGAATATTTTGCTGAAAGCTGCTGAAGATGTTGACAAAGTTTCACAGCAAACCAGTTCATGCGAGTTGAATCAGAGCAGCTGACGTTTGCTGAAAGCTGGAAAATAAAAGCAGAAGAAAAACCGCAGAAATGTTAAAAAAGCAAGAAATGTGGCTGAAAGAGCTAAAAACAAAACAAGCTGAAAGATTGTAAGAGACAAAGGTATTAAAGCTGAAATTATTAGAAAGAAGCACAAAGGTGGAAATGAGCAGAAAAATAGTTCCCTAAACTCTCAGTGTAACATCTGAAGTACATGTTCCCTGTTTTCCGATGATTTCATGAAATCTCTGACAAAACGTGAACAATGTCTGAGGACAGCAGGTGCAGCTCCTGCAGGTGAGGGGCGCTCACCTTGGGACAACTGATCGCTCAGTTGCTGACGACCCTGCTGGATTGATTGACAGGCGGCGTCGAGGATCTGAATCACGCTAATAATAATAATAATAAAAAAATCAGATTTTACTGGTCTGTTTAAGTGTCATCGTTTATTCAATATTTTGGTGAATCTAAGGTTTAAGAGCTGAGCTCCCTTACAAAATCCTAATTCTTTATTCTTCAGGGGTGATGAGTAAAAAGGTGCTTACGCACCCCCAGAAAGAGGCTAAAATCACTACTGATGTGTGGGTCAAAAGACATATGTTGATTAAAATAATAATAACACCAAGGTTTTTAACATAACTGCAAAGTTTATTCCTAACATGCTCAGGTCCAAAAACTAAAACCTCAGTCTTGTCTGTGTTGAAAAGCAGAAAATATGGGGTCATCCAGGTTTTTATGTCTTTAAGTTAAGACATGCTTTTGGTTTGGATTCATTGGATTTCATGAACAAATTCATTCATTCAACCTTTATTTCTACAGGTTAATCCCACTGAGCCTCCAGGACTCATTTACAAGAGAGACCTGGTTTTAACAGAGTGATGACAACAACAGACAATCATAAAAGAGGCATACAGATTTTTTTTAAACAAATTAAAATAAGATGGGGGAAAACGTAGCAAAACAGCTAGATTATAATGCAAATGTAGAAAACTAAAAACAGGAACATGTCTGCATTGGTTCTTGCCAGGAGTCCAACAGATGCTTAAAGCCACTATATAAATATAACCAAGTATCATCAGCATAACAATGAAAATGTATCCCATGCTGTTTAATAACTTTATATTATTATAAGCTTTACTGCATATCGCCCACAGCCAGAGTTTAAATCTGAACTCATTTAATGATAAATGACAACAGCTGCAGGAAAAATCATTTAAATTCATCAGTGACATCTGTTGGTGGAGTTGAGTACTGCACCTAGTGGTGAGCATGCGCAATGACCCATTAAGACTTGTCAGCTGCAGGTGTGTATGGACATGACAACCAAGGGAATAAATGGACAACATGTCCAATAACACCTCCTAAATGTTTGGTCAGAAGGCGCACGCTATGTTTACATATTCTGGTTTTGTTTATATGTTTAATTTTGGTTGTAAATGCAATTTTGTTTACACTTGTGTTTATATTGTGCATTATTTTAACACAGTTATTCACGGTGTTTGCTGCCGTCCTGTGTGGCAAAGAGATCATTAAAAGCTGGGTGAACGTCATTTGGAGCGTGGCCTTATTCTGTACCAGACGAAAACACAACAACATTGTAACCTTTTAGCATAACTCTACACAACCTGCTATTATTGGGTGTCAGAGTTGTTGTCAATGACTCTCAGCTACTACCACATCAAATTGAACTCAAGTTTCTGTAAAACTGACTATTGGCTGTGGCAGCCATCTTTAAAAGTGTTTATTCCAGAGGTAATTCTAAATATTTAAGTGTTAATAAGTGCTTATTGAATGCTGCACTAAGGTTTAGTTTTAGGAATTCTGTAGGAATCCACAGCTAGATGGCACCAAACCCACATTTTATTTGTATAGAGCCGTTTATTTTCAGCAGGTCAGGACAAAGTGTCAGTTTAGAGTTCTGTTCAGGAAATTTTAATTTAGCCAATTATTAAGAAATGGACGTTTTCCTTTTTTTTTTTCCCAGAAAACATTTAATTGATGTAAAAAAACAAAAACTTTATTACATATATCTAAACAGCAACTATACTTGTAATGATAAACTTTTGATGTCAGCTCAGTTCAAGATGGCTGCTACAGCCAATTAAACATATAAACCCCCAAAATGGCAAAACCTTTGACAAAATGTACAGATCTTGAGCTAAAGTTGGTGGTGGTAGTAGCTGACAGTCATCCCCATCACATATTTAGCGTGCAACCCTGCAAGGACGAGTAAACCCCTGAACAAACTCGTGGTGCAACGTTTCAAAATAAAGCTGCGTGTAAATGCCTCCCACACAACTCCAGCAACGCTGCTCACCAAGGAGGTGCGATCATTGTGGCCACAGACGGCTCTGAAAACAGCTGCTGTGACAACGGTCTGATTCACAGCTGGAACTCCCCCTGCTCTGGGCGATAAGCCGTCACACTTTTAACAGGAAACGTCTTTTAAATTCAGTCAAACGCAGGGCGGTGAGGTTCATCAGGCCGGGGAACGTGTTGAGAAAAGCTGCCAAACGACGGGGCTCGGTTTAGTCGTGTACTTACCGTAGTATTTACGCTCTCTCCATAAAGTTCAAAACAGGATTTAAAAATCTCCTAATGACACAATTAACAAAGCTCTCCACAACCAACCTCCATCGTATTGTTCCATATTTTCCTTATTTTTCAGACTGCAGGTTTACTTGTGGTTCCTAGAGTTCTCAAAGGTAGAACAGGAGACAGGGCTCCTCTTGTGGAACCAATTTCTAGATTTTTGTCCACGAGTCTGACACTGTCTACTTATAAGACCAGCCTTAAGATTGTCCTTTTTGATGAATCCTATAGTTGGGGTTGAGTTTCCTGAGCTATCCTTTAGCCATACGGCTTAGACTGCTGGATGACAAACTGATAATTCACTCTGCTGTTGTCTTTACTCTCTAAATTCATACATGTCATTATTGCTTTAAATTGCCCTGTGTTTTTGTTTGCTTTTCTTACCATAGAAACCACACCTGGACCAAACATTCAGTGTTTGTCTCGGTCCTGTCAAACCGCAGCTGGTTGACTCATCCCGAGCCTGGTTCTGGTTCTGATGGAGGTTTCTTCCTGTTAAAAAGGAGTCGTTCCCTCCGCTCCAGCACCGTACTGCTCAGGACGGGAGATCGTAACGAATGAAAGAGTTGGTGTTGCTGTAGATTCCTTAGATAAATAATGTTTACTGATGTGTTCTGGCAGGAATGAATCGGCTGAACTTGAATTAGAATCTGGATGTTTTGGACAGAACTGGATTTAACACGACTTATTGTAAACTGGTGCCGTTCAAATAAAGGGAATTGAATTTCTATTGACTCCACATTCATCTTTAAACGGAGGAAACCAGAACGTCTGTTGTGAGAGACACAACAAAAGCTCTGGACTAAAGCTGCGGAGAAATGAAGCAACTGTTGTGCAAGCTGCTTTTTCTAAAGACTGGTTGGGCAACGAATAAAGCAAAGTTCAGACCTGCTTTTAATGTCTAGTTCATGCTCGGCTACATGCACGCTGTTCAAACAAGCCTCTTGATGCAGTTATTTACACATTAATGTTTCTTTAGACCTAAATAAGTCAAACTTGCAAAGCTGCAGGACAAATCGATTTATTCTAGTTGCGTGAAAATAATAATCAAAACGACAATCAGGAAATGCAACAACCAAACTGCACTGTACGTATTTGCATATGAATGTGCGGTTTGAAATGAGTCTTCCTCTTCCTCAGACCAGCACTGTGAAGGAAAGGAGGCTAAAGTGTTAAAATGCCTGAAACTGAAATAATTTAACTTAAATACAATTAGTTGCAAATCCTATAAACCCAGATTTTAACCACGATGAAGCGCAGAGCATGTCAAATGCGTGAACAGAAAAATTGTACAATAGTTAAGAAAATATTAGAAAAATCTACATTTTCTGTCAGCAACCCATCTTAAGAAGGAGCAACAAGGCTGAAAACAGAGGTGGTGCAAATACGAAACAGCTGGATGAGCATTTTGCAACAAACTGGGTTAATTGGCAACAGGTCGGTGAGAAAACTGAGTAAAAAACAAACCAGTCTGCAAGAACTGTTTACAAAAAGGAGAACAATTAAAGAATTATGTTCCTCGATGGAAAATTGAAAAGACTTCAAATATCCCATCGTTTACAAGAATGCAGAAACATCTGTGCACAGAGGACAAGGCCTGCGGTCTTTAGGCCCCATTTGTTCACAGTTAAAGCTCTATCGTGCACAGTTTTTACATCATTCTGAAACACCGTTGTCTTCTCTGAGCTGAAGTTTATTTAAAATGAACTGAAGTCAAATGAATCTCTTTTCTGCAGCCACAGACACCAGACCCCCTGTACTAAAGAGCGGGATCGGTTTTCAGTGCATAGTTCAAAAGCCTGCCTCTCTGATGGTATAGGGGTGCATTAGTGCCTATGGCATGGGAAGCTTACACATCTGGAAAGACACAATGTTTATACAGAATTTTGAGCAATTTGTCCTCCATCCAGATAAATCTCTTTTTTTAGAGAGTGCCTGAAATTTTCAGCAAGACCACACGCTGCATCCATTTCAACAGCATCCATCCATCCAACCATCCATCCATCCATCCATCACAACAACATGGATCATCCATCCATCCATCACAACAACATGGATCATCCATCCAACCATCCATCCATCCATCCATCCATCCATCCATCACAACAACATGGATCATCCATCCATCCATCCATCACAACAGCATGGATCATCCATCCATCC